TACAATCAGCTGAGAAATACAAAAAACTCTGACTCACACTCATCGAAGCATTTGTTGTTCTTTTCTGAATGAAATTTATGCTATTTGGAGCATTACTACAGCAGGAATTTTTGTTCAATAATATCTAATGACTTGAACTAAAAAAATATACAAGTATCCTAGAAGAAAACACTTGGAACTTCAATATAATAGAATCACACAGAGGAGAGAGTAAACATTTTAAAACCTCAATATTTGGTGTTTTACTATACTCAAACTAAAAATGCTAAAGGTTGAAATATACCAGAATATCTCAATTCAATCAATATAATTAAATCTTCCTTTGGGTAAAAAAATTAACATTCTATAAACCTGGTGGTTTTTCACCAACCTTCATATATGCAACATTTTTTTTTACCTTTTTCGCCCTTTCTGCCAAACTTAAGTGTTTCAAACAACCATAACATAAGCCCTATCTAATTTATCAAAATGTTTTAGATGAGATTTAGCAATACATAAATCTAATGATGGGCTGTGCATGGTGGTTCATGCCTGTAACACCAACACTTTGTGAGGCCAAGACAGGCAGGTCACTTGAGGCCAAGAGTTCAAGGCCAGCCTGGTCAACATGGCGAAACCCCATCTCTACTAAAAAAACACAAAAATTAGCCGGGCATGGTGGTGAATGCCTACAATCTTGGCAACTTGGTAGGCTGAGGCACAAGAATTACTTGAGCTTGGCAGGAAGAGGATACAGTGAGCCAAGACTGCACTACTGCACTCCAGCCTGGGTAACAGAGTAAGACTCCATCTCAAAAAAAAAAAAAAAAAAAAAAAGCTAAAGATTAATTGATATACAGGTCTTAACATTCATAACTATGTTGACTTCTTTGTCAGCCTATTTAACCACCAAAGACTTCAGCAAGAATTACCTTCATATTTAGGCAAAATAATAACAATGATTTACTTTTGTGTAAAGAATAAGAATTAAGTATTTCTGGCTTTTGTTTTTTTGGGGGCATATAACTTAACACCATTTTTCCTTACCGACTAATGTCTTCTTTATTATACATAAAACCCATATCTAAAAATTCCTTTTGAGTTTATTTCTGAATTCTCAGATCTCTATCTTTGGTCTATATGCCTATTTATACACTGTACCAAACTATTTTAATTAATGAAGCATTATAAAGCATTTGATACATGGTAGACCTCTGCTTCTCATTCCTCTTCTTTTTTAGAATTCCCATGGTTATTCTTACATGCTATTTTTCCATTAAAACTATGGAATATGTGTGCCTAGATTTTTTTAAATATTATCGGTATTTTTACTGTGATCACACATTTTTAGATTTAGAGAGAACTGATCTCATTATAATACTGAGTCTTTCCATCCAATAATAGGACATATCCCTTAATTATGTCTGAGTATACAATTCCTTTTCTTTCTTTTTTTTTGAGACAGAGTCTCACTCTGTTACCGGGCTGTATTGCAGTGGCGCAATCTCAGCTCACTGCAACCTCAGCCTCCTGGGTTCAAGCGATTCTCCTGCCTCAGCTTCCTGAGTAGCTGGGATTATAGGCACCCACCACTACGCACAGCTAATTTTTTGTATTTTTAGTACAGACACAGTTTCACCATGTTGGCCAAACTGGTCTCAAACTCCTGACCTCATGATTCACCCACCTCGGCCTCCCAAAGAGTTGGAATTACAGGCGTGAGCCACCACACCCGACCGACAATTCTTTAAGGATGAAATCATATTGAATGAATATCAAGCAAGGAATGCTTGCAAAATTATTTTCTTATCAACTGAACTAACAGTAAATATCAAGAGGTGTTCATAGATACCTTCTCCTTTAAGAACCAACTATAGTTGATGAAAGACACTTGTATTTTTATTAGTGTATCATGAAACAAACATTTAACTTTCTCCAAAAGGTTACAAACTATGTTTGTCAACATAGCTAGGCTGAGGAAATACCTAACTTATGCTACTTGTGGGGAGAGAGGGAAGAAGGCATGAAAATTGTATAAGAACAAATCCCTATCCTTAAATGGCTTTCAATTAAAGTGGAGATACAAAAAGAGAAATAGGAATATGACCACCTTCCCTCAATTCCCTTGTTTAAATTTCTTCCCCAACAACCCCATTTTGAGAGGCAAAAACAAACCAAATAAGAAAATTATGGCTAACTCCTTTGGGAAGGTCAACATCTTATGACAATGATCAGTCTCTAAAATTACAGAGAATGAAATGTCTAGAAAATTATAATTTGTAAACAAATAAGGTATTCAGAAGTAAAATCTACAACATTGCTTGTAGCATTAGTCAACAGCAGAAACAAAACTTAATGGTTGCTGACTTAGAAAATGAACCAACTCCCAAGGTAATGCACATTTGCCAGCATAATGCAGAAATACAAACTTGTAACTTTATATAACCCAAACCTTCCCTCACTATGGTATGTAGCCTTAATGACTTCTATGAATATAAATTCAGCATTTATATTACGATTTAAGTTTCAGTAATAGTTGAAAAGATCAGAGATAAATACACTATTGAATCTGAAAGGTAGAACAACAGTATGTAGAATTATACTAAATCCCTCCATATTACATTCTAAAGTAAGAATATAATAAAATTTCAAATGATGTTATATGGAGTATTGTTATTCTACCATAAAGAATAATTTTGGAATAGTTATACAATATATGCTCAGTCCTGATCCATGACCTCTCCAGTAAAAGCATTTGGGAAACTGGGAATATGACAGCAGTTACTTTTTGCAGATATCAGGTAAATTTCCAAGCTATATAATCAATGTAGACAGTGTTGAGCGAAACAACATACTTTATTGCCCCTTTTGCCTTGAAGTCTTTAAGTAAATCCTAGTCCAGCCCTCAAAACTGATTGTTATAATTTGGATATTTGACTCTCCAAACCTCATGTTGAAATTTGTCCCCCAGTGTTGAAGGTGGGGCCTAACAGGACGTGTTTGGGTCATGGGGCCAGATCTTATGAACAGATGAATTCCCTCCATGGGACATGGTGAGAGTTCTCACTCTATTAGTTCCTGGGAGAGCTGGTTATTAAAAAGAGAATGGAACCTCCCCCATCGCTTGCTTTATCTCTCACCAAGTGATCTCTGCATATGCTGGCTCCCTGTCACCTTCTGCCAGGAGTGAAGCAGCCTGAAGCCCTCACAAGATGCAGATGCTAGTGTCAAACTTTTTGTACAGTCTGCAGAACCATGAGTCAAATAAACCTCGTTTCTTTATAAACTACCCAGCCTCCAGTATTCCTTTACAGCAACACTAAACAGACTAAGACACTGTTTCCCAAAGAAAAAAGTCCAGGGATAAGCTCACATTACACACAAAAGGCAACAACTCACATTACACACACAACAAAACGTCCTGTGTTGTCTTCTTTTTACCACAACGTCCACTTTCACATTGTTGTGTTTTATTTCATGCCTTTTTGATTGTCATCAATCAGAAGGACAATGCTATTCCTTGTTGGATACTGGTCTATGCTTCGAAAAGTAAAAAGCTCACTGAAATAGAAGCTACAACAGTTGAGAACGAGGTCACAAATATCAATGAGACAAAGTGAAAAATGTCTCTGAAGCTTAACAAGCCAAGAAATACTAGATGCAGGTGATGCAGAAAAATCAGAGGGACACTGTAAGGATAAGAAAGCTTCATACCCAAAATAGCAGAAAGATCAAATTGAAGAAATTACATTTTTCAAGAAATGAAGTTTTCCTGCTTCTAAAGAACAATTAGCATATAATTTATTTGTCCAGAAAAATCTTTTATGAATCATAATAGCAAATCTAGTAGATCAAAGTTTTTGGATAGTCATTAGAATTAACACAGTAGAGTTCTCTATCAGACATTCTGTTACAACTAGATACAAATCTTTTATGATCAAAAAAATCAATCTTTATATGGACATAGATATAAAGTGTATTTTTGAAAATTTAAAAGTGCTTAAATCAACTAAACATCTCATACTTTTTTCTAAGTTTCTTTTCTCTCCTCTTACAAAAAAATATAAGGGAAACAAGAAAAAGGGGCTCACAAATTATAAAATCCACTACCACTCCTGGGATAAAAGCATTTCAAAAGATTTCAAAAAATGAAAATAAATTAGCATAGACAATTATTTTGCAATATTACGCATGCATTCAATTTCAGCTCTGATAGCTACATACAAACATAATTTTACAAGCTTCAGGAATTCCAACTTGAAAATATGCCCTGCACTAAAGACTAAACAAACACATTTTTTATAGTAGTACCCAGACTGAGGCGAGGCCCCTATTAAATGCTCCCATAGCATTTTACACTTCTCTTTTATAACATTCATCATACTCATTACTTAACGTTTGCAGCCTAAGATATACAGTCAAAGAGTTTTGTATTTTTATGTACCATACACCATTATACTCCAATGTCTAAACAATTGATACCATAAATGTTTGTTGACTGAATAAACAAACTTTTTATTAAATTGTCTCTCAAAATTCTCAGTCATGATACCAGTGCTATATTATAAAATATTTATAAAATAAGGGTCAATTGCTTTATAGCAGTGACTATATAGCAGCAAAAGAGGGGAAGAGAGCTAGGTGAATGGAATCTATTCAGAATAATTTGAGTGGTTATTCTTTTGGTTTTACAAACCCTGCCCACTTGCCGTTACTCTCTATTCCATGCCCAATGCCTGTAGGGTAGCATGGACATCTATTAGAAAAACTACAAAACACTGCAATATAGAGCAATTGTTACTTATGTTACTAGGTAATATTCCTCAGGTATATTGGATTACAAATGAAGGTTTAAAAGAATTGTTCTACTGTTTTAAAAAAATCTTTTCAAATTGTGAGAAAAATTCAAACTCAATCAGATATTACCATTTAATAATAAAGAGACTGAATATACATATTAGATATGCATTAAGACTATCTAGTCAGAAAAGGAAAAGATCAACAAAGAATAATTTACTTACATCAATGGAAAAGCAAAAAATGGGAGTGTCATGGCAAGTCTTGCTGTAAATTCATCAGGAAGATACCATAAATATACAATTAAGCATGTAAACAGATAGAGAACTGAGGAATACAGAATTAATCTTCCAACCCATAATTTTTGTAATCTCTGATTTTTTTCCCTGAATTCTTCCAATGCTTGAATTTCCTGTTAAGAGAAAATTACTCCATGTTAATAAATTTCAAACTTCATTAAAAAATTAAAATATTAAAAAATTTTAACATGACAGAAAGATTATATTTAAGAACTCTTAAAGTTCAATAACGTATAATATACTATAAAACCCTAACAGTTTAAAACAATAAAGTATAAAACCCTAACAGTTTAAAATAAAACATAATATGAAAAAGAAAATTATAAATGAAGTTAAAAATTTATAACACTTATTCTGACAAATCATTTTTATAATGCAAAATTAATTACTATTTTTAATCTATCAAATTGGCAAAGATTCAGAGAATAAAACTGGTATCAGTAAATAATATTTGTTGAGTTAAGTAAGTAATAATTTTTCCTATAAAAAAGATTTTTAAAATCTAGCAATAAGAAAAAGAATAAAAATTAAAACAGTAACTCATCTATTTATCAATCTCAATATTCCCAGAAAATAATCATTTTTGATAATAGTACACAAAAAGCTGTGAAAATTTTGTAGACTGATAAAAACTGTTGTAAACTATCTCTTCCATTTTGTCCTAACTGTAACATTGATTTACACCACGCTACAGCTCGAATTTCACTCTAACTGGCTCTGTTACTTGATACAGACTTCTTAAGTCACTGATAGACTTTGGATTTTTTTGAGATCACATAACATTAAAGTTCTCAGACTCACTCTACATCATTTCTAAATTCCCATACCAGGTTTGGTCTCCAAAATATGTACGATAATATTTACTTAGTACCTAAAATGAATTAAAATACCTCTCAGCCAAAGAGCATACCTTATCTATACTTTCTAGAACTTCCACAGTTGAAGGCTTTGTCTGTTATGGAAACAGAAATAAGAGACAGCATTAAAACTTATTATCACAAACCTTTATATTTTGATATAATCATTAAAGAACATTTATTTCAAAATTAAATTTTCTCAAATGTTGTCATGTGAGTATGCATTCTTATTTATAACTAAAATTTATTTAAATAAAAATAATTACAAACAGACTACATAAAATTAAAGAAATAAGAATTTCCCTACTTAACTTTTTAATCCTAGAAAGACTTTTTATTCTGATGGCTCAATAGGTTACCATTCTTACCCTCAATAGAACACACTGGTATAGAAAGAAACAAATTTTGGCCAGGCATGGTGGTTCACACCTGTAATCTCTGTACTTTTGGAGGCCAAGGCGGATGGATCACTTGGGGTTAGGAGTTCGAGATCAGCCTGGCCAACATGGTGAAACCCCACCTCTACTAAAAATTAGCTGGGCATGGTGGCATGAACTTGTAATCTCAGCTACTCGGGAGGCTGAGGCACAAGAATTGCTTGAACCCGGGAGGCAGAGGTTGCAGTGGGCCAAGATTGTGCCACTGTACTCCAGCACTCCAGCCTGGCCGACAAAGCGAGACTCCATCTAAAAAAAAAGAAAAGAAAAACAAATTTTCCTCCAAAAAAATTCCTTAGGAATGATTACTCAAAAGAATTAACATATTAAAAAATTTACAGACTAAAGATGTTCTGATCTGCTACTGCTAAAAGTTCACTTAGGACTCTGGAGGTCAAAATCAACAGGCTATCTTTTTTCTAAATTCCTAAAGTCCTTTTTGAAGATCAGATTTTAAATGGACATCTAAGAATACTTCATTATAGCAAAGCTTGTTTGCCAAAGATTTTTTTATACATCAAGAATAAAAAACAGCCAAAATCATTCATAAAACACTTGAAAAAATATTTACCAATTACATACTCAACAATCCAAGAGGGTAATGAATATCAGTTCACTATAGTCCCATAAGAGTTGTTAACATTAGAGTTAACCATATGAAATTGACATTTTGCTAAGTCGAAGCAGTTGAATACTGGCAATTTCATATGGTTCAACCTAATATGAAAGACAAAGGAAGAGAGGTAAATTTGATCTTTGGACAGATTATTATAAGGTCATAACAGGGTCAATATAACACTAATCCAAAACAAGGCTGTTCCAGCAATAGCCCAAAAACTAAATTATGTACCAAGTATAGTTAGACTCCATTACTATAGTGATAAGGAGTAAAAAATAAGTAGTTTATCCTAGACTACCTTATCTTCTCTTACATTTGAAAAGAGCATTAATATAATTTATACAATTCATATTTTCTAGCTGTAACTTTGAGGTACTTCCTCTAAAATCTTATGCAATAAAACCAAACTGCATGTCTAATTTTGTTTAACCTGTAATTTCTACAAGCATATATAGTGTGACTTCAGTCAATATTTCTGACAAGCTTCAAGTAAAAAGATAGAGTCTGTAAAAAACAAGTAAAAAATAAGTATGGTATAAAATACTTATTTTCTTTTTTTTTTTTTTTGAGACAGAGATAGCTCTGTCACCCAGGCTGGAGTGCAGTGGCAGGATCTTGACTCATTCACTGCAACCTCCGCCTCCTGAGTTCAAGCCATTCTCCTACCTAAGCCTCCCGAGTAGCTGCGATTATGGGTGTGCACCACCATACCCAGCTAATTTTTGTCTTTTTAGTAGAGACAGGGTTTCACCATGTTGGCCAGGCTGGTCTCAAACTCCTGACCTTGTGACTCACCCACCTCAACGTCCCAAAGTGCTGGGATTACAGGTGTTAGCCACAGCACCCAGCCTAGAATACTTATTTTCAACTACCTTTCAAAGGAAGGTAGGTACTTAGGAAGTCTAAGAAGAAAACAAGAAAAGATAGCCATTTGCACACAAATACATAAATACAGAAATAAAAATAATTCATGCATCAAAGTGAAATAATTCTGTCAAACAGAGGCACTGCACAACTATAGAACAAGTGGAAGTATTAAAAATTAAAAAACAGACAAGTAATACAGAAGAGAAGAAAAAAAGAGTTAAGGAAAATAGCAAACTACTATTCAAGACTATAATTAAAGAGACTTTCACAAATAGCTTTATGTGACATTTTTATGTTAGACTCAAGAACTAGCTGTCAAGAAAAGTACCTTACCCTCCATCGAGAAAATAATCCACCCATCTTTTATTTGTAGAAACTGGGCACAATGATGAATATCATCAATTGTCCAAAGGAATTCACAGCTAGAAATAAAGCAAGTATTTAAAATGTTAAGTTAAATACACAGCATATCCACTATAGACGCTTCAATACAGCCTAAAAAAAGTTAAGAAATATTAATTTATTTGGACTCCGCATATATGGAATTTCATTTCATATAGTCATTGGGATACAATCTACCTTTTTTCTTTTTTTTTTTTTGAGACAGTCTTTCTCTGTTGCCCAGGCTGGAGTACAGTGGCAAGATTTCAACTCGCTACAAATTTAAGCGATTCTTGTGCCTCAGCCTCCTGAGTAGCTGGGACTACAGATGCATGCCACCATGCCTGGCTAATTTTTGTATTCTTGGTAGAGACAGAGTTTCACCATGTTGGTCAGGCTGGTCTCGAACTCCTGGCCTCAAGTGATCCGCCCGCCTCGGCCTCCCAAAGTGCTGAAATTACAGATGTGAGCCATCGCACACTGCCAAGTCTACCTTTTAAAAATTCATTCTTCAAAACCAGAACAGATTTAAAAGTGAAAATAAAGCTTTTCAAGCTTTTTAAATAACAATGCAGTTTAGAAATGTATATTCTTACCATTTAGCTATTTTCTATTCTTTAAAATAGGTTCTCCATATTGTTCTTGTAACAAAGTTTTACCATACTACTTTCATATTACATACTTAAATAATTTTTACTACCCAGCTGTCTCTCAACTAAACTAGTTATTTGGATTAGGAGTGTTTTACAATGTTTAGAATATCACCTTACAAGTAATAATAGAAAGCCAACTGAGTGTTGAGTAAGAAAATAAGGATTACAAGGCTATCTACGACATTTAACGAATTACTTAATGATTCCGAGCCTTAATTTTCTTTTCTCTAAATTAGAGTTAGTAATCCCACCACTTTCTCACAGGATAGTCTGTAATATTACCATCTTACAGATAAGAAAACTAAGTGAAAAGAGGATTAGTGATTTGTCCAGCTCAGAAGCAATATGGCCTATAGTCCCTTTATCTTCAGATTTCTAGTCTCTATTACTAAACACTGCTGTTCAACACCCAAATAAACATTTCTCCCTGACATTTTGTATAAGTCCCTCAAGCCAGCTGACCTTCAATTCAGCTAGCTCTATAACCACTTCTTTTAGCTGTTTTTGTATTACTATCAAATGTTTTATAATGGACTCAACAATATTATACTCTAAATCAACTTACTGGACAATAATTACATAAATTTTTATTCTTTTAAGTTGAAATGGTAAAAGTATACTTTCAAACTGACATATTTCAACCAGGTTTCTGTTAGATACTTCCCAATGTATAAAACTACTTCTTTTCCACCCAAAAAAAGGTTACCTGTGTCATACTTCTCACACTTTTTAACCATAAATGTAATCAGAAAATACCAGCATCAAGTAAGAACCCTCACTCTACAACATTATTTATATATTATAATCAGCATAAGGCATAGCTATCTTGCAGTTTCTGAGAAAAGTAGCAAATTGCTTAACTATAAAATGCTTTTACTTACAAAGTAATTTTAAAGGACAGAAACACCTATAATCTGTCTTGAAAAACTCTAATGTTTATATGAATGTTTCAAGTCAAATTTAAGTTGCAATCTAAATATTATTAATCATTTAGCATTAACTTAGTACTCAAATTTCTAAAATGTGGTTGTAGAAAATCCAGGAACTTGAATGAATTAAACTATAAATTTCTATCTGAATCATGACAGTAAATAAATCTAAAAACCTTCTTGAGATGCTAAAAATAATTACCAAAAAGGTGGGTGGAGGGAGTAGATTCATATGAATCACTTGTTGTTCTCAAAATGTACATCATTCCACTATTTTAGAATTAGTGTATAGTGTCTAGCAGTGGTCTGTAAACAACTAACCCACATATTTTGGTTTGAAGTAGAATTATATCCTTCTATGTCAAGTTTGTAACCATCACACCCTGAGACTGTGATCAGAATTTTTAATATTTGAAATTAATGACAACAACAATATCAGGTAAATACTTAATAAATACTTCATTTCTAGCAGGCCCTAAAACAAATGATGTGTGTGTGTGTGTGTGTGTGTGTGTGTGCGCCCATGTGTTTTGAGACAGGGTCTTACTCTGTCACCAAGGCTGCAGTGCAGTGGCGTGATCTTGGCTCACTACAACCTCTGTCTCCAGGGTTAAAGTGATTCTCCCACCTCAGCCTCCAAAGGTGTAGCTGGGACTATAGGCACACACCACCACACCTGGCTGATTTTTATTTTTATTTTTTTGGTAGAGACAGGAGTTTCACCATGTTGGCCAGATTGGTCTGGAACTCCTGGTCTCAAGTAATCTGCCTGCCTCAGCCTCCCAAACTGCTGGGATTATAGGCATGAGCTACCATGCCCAGCCCAAATGCTTTATATTAATTTTAGCATTTAGATACTACTCTACCTCCATTTTAGAAATGAGATACGTAAGGCAAGAGAAGTAGTGTGCTAAGTAACATCCCAAAGACAGTAAGCAGCAGAACCAAACATAATATTTTAGTTTTTTTAAGTACCCACTTATTACCAGTAACACAAATCAGAAATAAAGTCTGCTTTACTTCTCACTCTGTCTGCTGCCCAGGCTAAAGTGCAGTGGCAGGATCTCAGCTCACTGCAACCTTCATTGTTCTAGCAATTTTTCTATCAAATTCTGATATTAAAGGAACTGATTTACTGTAATGCACATGTAATAGGTAGTACTTTCTAACAGACGTGAAAACATAACAAAATTAAATAATTAAATCAAATATTTCTCCATAGCTTTAATTTCATACCTCTTCTGTATTCAACCACTGGTTCTCTCCCTTCCACCCAAACGTCTTAACTCCAAGTCCTGTGGCCCATCACTTACTGTAAAATTTTGGACAAATCAGTTACTTAACCTATCTGCTACTCAATTTCCTCATCTGTAAAAGAGGGATAGATAGTTAAGGACCCTCTTAAATGTTGAAAGGCTTAAATGACACAATGTATTCTAAACTATTTACAACAGTGCCTGACACATAATGAATGCTCAATATAAATTGTTTTAACTGCTGTGGTTGTTGCCATTTTCTAATCCATCTCTCATTTCTTTCAAATACATGGAAAATACATGGGAACCAAATAACCCTTGCATTTCCTTCTGAGGCATAAATCAATTTGCTTGCCCTGGATTGAACAGATGGTTCAACCTCAAGTGACTTGTCTCGAAGAACTCTTCCATTAACATGTACAGAGTGTTTCTTTCCACTCTGATACCACAACAGGACCTGTCATGACCTTAAGAGCTGGGTACATCTAAGTGTGTTTTTTTTTGAGACAGAGTCTCACTCTGTCTGTTGCCCAGGCTGGTGGGCAGTAACAAAATCTCAGTTCACTGCAACCTCTGCCTCTTGGTTTCAAGTGATTCTCCTGCCTCAGCCTTCCATATAGCAGGGATTACAGGCACGTGCCACCACTCCCGGCTAATTTTTGTGTTTTTAGTAAAGACAGGGTTTCACCATGTTGCCCAGGCTGGTCTCAAACTCCTGACCTCAAGTGATCTGCCTGCTTCGGCCTCCCCAAGTGCTGGGATTACGGGCGTGAGCCACCATACCTGGCCTATGTTTTTCAATGAACAATAATGCTATCACGTTATTTGAATGTTTTCTACTAATGGCTATTTACACTCAAGTTTGGGTGTCAGAATTTTAAATCTTGGAAAATGTTTTTCTTAAATTTTCACCTCACTCCAAGCCACATTCAAATAATGTAATAAAACAGATCTGGATTCAAAATATGGCTCAGCCACAGACTATGCAATCTTGGACAGATTACCTAAACTCTCCAAGCCTCAGTTACTGCATTTGCAAAATGGTAAAAATATCTACACTTCATAGAATTGTTGTATAAATTAAATAAAATTATGTATGATTTGGCACAGTGTTCAACACATAGTAAGTGCTTACATTGTAGCCATTATTACTATCAGAAAACAGAAGTCGTATTTACATGAAACACATTTCTTTCTAACTTCTTCTAAAGAAAGCACCTATTTCCTAATTCTAAAATTGGAAAATTATATTACAGTTTGTACTATAATTTTTTTACTAAAATCAATTGCTCTCATTTTCTCTAATATAAGAAATAAAGCAAAATATTCTGCAGACCCTGCTATTAAATAACCCTGTAGACTTTTGAAGAAAACAGCAAAGAAAGTTTTATGTTTATCAAGTTCGAAAGTATAAGCTATTTAATCACCATCAACAGTACCTCCATAACATATTGTACTATACAATTGAAGAATAAAGGTGATTTGTTCTAGAACTCTTAACTTTCAAATGTCGTAACTGAAAAGACAATTCTGAAATAGCCCGTCACATTTATTGCTCCTCAAAAAAAAAAAAAAAAAAAATATATATATATATATATATAAAGTGCTTAAACTATTATATATTAAGCACTCTTAATATATAATGATTAAGTGCTTGCTTTCATGGTAAGCCAATTTTCATCTGAACTAAATACCACCAAAAAAATTACTATTTGGTTATAAAGATTTCTATATGAAGTCATACCTTTTTAGTAGCCATATAACTTCTCCCTTTTCTTGTATTATCTTCCAAGTTAATTATATAAACACTATATAAGTTTATTAACAGCTTTACTGAGCTGATCTCAATAGATGACAGAGAAACTTAAAATTCTAATTTTAAACGCACCACTCCTGTTTAAGAAAATGTTAAAAGTCAACTTGGTCTTCTGGGGGCTGCTGAGGAAAAGAGATAGCATTCCCTGCCAGGTTGAACATATTCCTGAAACCAAGCTTACTCACACCCACCAACCCGCTGTTGAAGAGTCAATTTTGTCAGTGCTGACACCCAGGCCACAAAGAAAGGAGAAAACAGTAGACACTAAGCAACAAACAACGGAGGCCACGGGGGAAAACCGGAACACGGAAAACTCAGTGACTCACGGGTCTTACTTAGTACTGTGACAGCTCCATCAGCCAAGCTGAGTTCACCAATTACAACTCTTTCACAATCCGTAAACTACGTACTGATGGAATTTAGATTTGTTTTTCTCCTCCTGCCACGCCTCTGACACTACGTGTCTTCGCCCTTCCCCTCCACCCGACAGCCCACCATCCCTGGAATAAGGACAATGGTTGGATTGCCTCTTCTCTAAGTAGCACGTACTCCACGCCCACACGCCAGAGCCCGGCAGCATGACACTGACAGTTTCCAGTCCCTTCTGATCTTTCCAAGTCTTGGGAGCCTCTGCACAACTCAGAAAAACAAGAGGCGGACAGAACGCTCAAAGCGGATGGCTGGGCGTAGGAAATGCTAGTTTGGGACCTTCTGACCCTTCGCCTCGACACAGGTGGGCCAGAGAGCTGGGGCTCAAGAGTCACCACCTGGAATCTCCCAGAAAGAAGCTGGAGAAACTACCAGCCCTAGAGGGGAGAAAAGGGTCTCGAGACTCCAGCACCATCCCTGCCAGTGCTGAGAAATCCAGGGTCCAAGGCGGCGAGCCTGAGTCTGCGCGCACCACCGCGCAGCCAGACTAGCCGCCGCCGCAGAGCTCTAGGCCCCTTGGCAGGAGGCGGGGGTACCGCGGAGAGACAAGCGGGGAACCCGCAGCTTATTTCCCAGGGGCACAGCTCAGCATGCCTCTCCCCTGCACAGCCCTCCCAACTGCCCTCGTCTTGAGCGTTCTACCTGCAAGGAGCCGGCGCAGCCCGGCCTGGGCGTCCACCCCCGCCAGTCTCGGCCGCCACCGCGCAGCCTGCCTCCGGAGCAGGCAGCAGCAGCCACTGACAGAGACTGGCCCGGCCAACTCCTTCCCATCAAACCCCGCGCTCCCGCCGCTCGCCAATTGGCGCCGCGGCCGACGCGCGCCGCTCCCCCGACACGTGACCCTACCCGGGGCGGGCAGTTGTTGGAGAGGGTGGGCCGGGAGGTTGGCCTGCAGGTGTCTGTGCCTGTGGCCCCCGTAGCCAGCCTAGGCTGCTCTTTGTCGCGTTGGAGGCAAGTACTGCCGCTTATTATGACTCTTAGAATATAGTTATTTCTTACTCTTCCGCTGCCTCCTTTTCTTTTAAAGCCTGTTCTGCCAGGTCTCGCTGGAGGGGGAAACCCCTGAAACTGGTCTCGGTGGTCTCAGACCGACCGCCGCGCAAGCGAAGAGTGGGAGTTAAGGAGGATGGAGATGGGTGCGTCTGGAAGGGAGTCCGTCCTGAGGAGTCCCCGATCAGCTGTCAGCCAGCCGGCAGCCGAGCAAGTTAGACTACACAGCTCAGGAGAAGCCAGTTCCCATTCAAGCCAGTGGAGAAAAGTCAGCCTGGCCCCTAGGAGTGTTTGACGCTCTGTCATTCATGGACGTCAAAAAGGGTCATTTGATGACTTGGACGCTTACCTCACCGGCGTGAGGTAAGCTTCAAATGCCATATCATGTTACTTTGAAGCCTGCAGTTAATAACATAAGCTGAGTTTTCTATCTTAGAACTCTCAACCTCAAGAACACTCTCCACAGGCCCTGATAAGTGGACCCACAAAAAACCACCCAGGTTATATTTGACTCAGATTTGAAACGCTGCTTAAACGGTATTAAGCTTCCTCCTCAACTGGAAAAGACAAATAACAAATGATACCTGAATGAAAAAAGACTAGACGTGCATACAGTAATGTGTGAGCAGGGAAACTTCCGCAAAGCTTTTTATCATGCTTTACCCCATGTGCAGACATTTTTTATGTTTTTTTCTTTCCTATTTTAGTTACATATACAGAAAAGTTTCAATGATTTTTAAAGAGTATAGTAGTTTTAATATGTTACATTTAAACTTCGACGACGCAAGCAAGTTATCAGGAATGTAAGCATTGTCTGGTTCCTAAGAACAATTTATTATGCTAGAAGCTACCACATAATTCACTGTGGAAGTTGCTTGCCCTAATTGCCTAAAATATTTAGTTACAGTTCTGTACACTTGAAAGGCTGAAAGGGAACTGAAGTTTAGTGTGTTACTGTGGATCACTTTCCCAATGTAGAAGAAAATGGACAGAAACATTTCACCTGTTTTGATATGGAAATTTAGCCATTTTGTTTTTCAACCTTTGCTGTTTCAAAGTATTAAAGTCCTGTGCAGTTTTGCAAATACATTTTACCTCAGAAAGATATCCTTTCCTAAGAAGACTGGGAGGAATGGCTTTCCACTTGCCAATAATGTGTCCTCTGGTTTTAACTGAGCCATCAATGTCTGTATTCCAGCCTGGGCTACCAAGCAAGACCCCACCTCTAAAAAAGGGGGGGAGTAGCGGGGGAGGGTGGACAGAGAAGAGCTGGCTGATGCACCAGAGTCCAGAAACCTACTCCTGAGATAAAATTCCCTAGGGAATTGCTCTACCAAGACTAAAGATTTGACCTGGCAAGAGGAGGGAGAGAAGTAGTTAATCATTAACTCTTTTAATCCTCCCAACAACCTTTTTAGTATAGTATCATTTTTCAAATGAGGAAACTGAAAAGTAGAGAGATTATGTACACTGTTGAAGGAAACAACATAAAAGATTATGCACACCTTGTTACCTTCAACAGTGTACATAATCTCACTGCCTCCTTTATATCAAGAAGAGTTCATCAAGCAAATAAAGTGAGGGAAAGACATTACACGCAGAGGAATCAACATATACACTATTGTGACTGGACTTCAGGCTGTAGGGTGATTCCAAGTATTTATTCACAAGGCCATGTGTTAAGTGCTGAGGATACAGGGATAAATAAACAGCTGTCCTAAAGCAGCTGACACTAGTGAGAGAAACCTTAAAAAATATATACAATGTAGACTAAATAAGTTCTGTGATAGAGGCTAATGTTTGCAGTATTGGAAAATGATAAGACAACAGCAGCCGGAGGGGATGTGGAAAAGCTAGTGAAGGTGCTGCTTTAGCAGAGTCCAAATGTCAAGAGTTATCCCCTGCTAATCCTGAAATTGTCCTGAGATAGGGTCTATGGAAGTGAAATCCAAAGAACAACAGAAAAGAACACCAGAGAATACTTTGAGAGAAGAAAAAATTGCTCTAGCCAATGGAGTTTTAAATGGTCTAGTTTAACAAATAGGTTGAATTTATCTAGGTGCTATGAGAATGTACCTAAGTGGCATTCATTGATCTTGTCAGAGAGGTTAGGTAAGGCTTCTTTGAGGAAGTCACACTAGACTGGAGATCTGAAAGATGAGAAACTGAAAAAGTGAGAGAGGGAAACAGAGGGAATATCATGTGTAAAGCCCTTTTATCAAGAGGGAACACCACAAGACTGGGGACTGAAAGGAGGCCGTTGTGGCTAGAGCCTAGGTTGCAGGGACAGAGTGCACCAGTTTGAAGCTGGAGACCAGACTAAGCAGAGTCTGATTGACCATATTAAGAACTGTAATCTTAAGAGAAAAAGGGAGGGGGAGGGTATTTGACATGATCAGATCTATGTTTTGAAAAGATCATTCCAGCTGCCGTGTGGGAACACAAGCAGAGCCAGCACTGGACTAATTAAATCTATGACTGGTGGTTGGTGTTAGTAGACATTCAAATGGATTGGGATAGGAACAAGGAGATGACAGAAGTGGGGGAAATGGAACAATAGGATGTAAAGTGGGAGGTCTTGGTGATGGATTCAAATATCATGGGGTGGGATGGGGACTGAGGGAGGAGGAGTCAGATAACTCAGAATTTCTAGCAGACCCAGTGGGTGGATAGTAATGCCATCATTGAGATATGGAGGACACTGGAAGAAAGCCAGGTTTGGGGGAAAAGGGTAATTTCAATTTGAACACGTTTAGTTTAAGATATTTTTGTGACTTCAAGGGAAGATGTAAACAGTTGGATCTATGGGTCTGCATCACTGGGCTGGAGAAAAAAAAAAATGTTACCATTAACTATTTGTCATTTTCTGCAGGGTACTTCTTTTTTCAAAATACAGATATCTTTATTGTAAGCAAGATGTTTTGTTTTTAAACATATTTAGAAGCACTTGAACCCAGGAGGCAGAGGTTGCGGTGAGCCAGGATCGCACCATTGCACTCCAGCCTGGGCAACAAGAGCAAAACTCAGTCTGAAAATAAATAAATAAATAAATAAATAAATAAATAAAACTATATTGAGAAGAACAGAAGTTTAAAAGTGAGTCTGTAGAGCAGTTTCCCAGACTTCTCTGACAGTCACCAGGGTCCCTTGTCAAAAACTCAAATTCTCAGGCCCCTCTCCTAGAGATTCTGATTTCACTTGTCTGGTATGGGGGGGCTAGAAATGTGGATTTTTAACAAGTACCACCGGAGAGTCTTATCACTGAGTTTCTCTGGGAAGTGGTATGCCAATGCCAGAGGCTACCTGCATAAGAGTCACCACAGTGCTTATTGAAATATAGATTCTCAGGCCCTACAGACTAAATCTCTAGGTATAGAAGGGTTGTAAGGAATGGAAAAAGGAATATGGTACCATGTCAGGTGGTCCAAGACCTCACACTTCATCTTTGACAGAGGTGTCCTACGCTTTCCACTGGGCAACGCTGAGGAAAGTGGATGTCCTTTGTGGGTGATGCAGATTTCGGCAGCAGGCAGCCCTCACAGGCTGCAATGATAATAGCTCTTTGCCTAGGCCTCCTGCCCTGTCCACTGAAATGGCACTCAGTCCACTTAGATCATCTCTTTTTTCCACCAATCCTATCAAGGTTCATTGTTCCCTCCTGGCCCCCAAATCTTTTTCAATGTTATTTCCACACCCTGTCATTCTACTCCCAGTCTAGGTGTTTTTCAGCAAATCTCGTGGCCAGAGCTGGGGAGAAATAGGGTCAAATGCTATGTTTCATTCCTGACATGGCTTTTTTTGTTCTTGAGAACCTACTTTGGAAGCGTTTTTAAAGACTGAGCTGTGTCAGGGAGAAAAGACTTTTCTTCTGCTCTCTTATCTTTCCTCTTTGGGGGACTGCAAATTAAAACGACAAAGATAGCAAGAAAAAAAAGAATTTAATTACATATGTACACAGAGAGAGAGAGAGAGAGAGAAATTCGCAAATAACTGTGACCCTAGGTGGTTAGAATTTGGAACTTATATGCCATCTTACTAGGGGATGAAGAAGGGCAGAGAGGCCCTTCTAAGAGAATAAATGACTTCTTCAAAGAAGTGAGGGAGAGACAAAGCACTTAGAGGAAACAAAAGACTTTTTGGAAAGAAAAATGGACCTTTAGGAGACTAGATGGAAGATATGATAGTTTTGTAACAATGTCTGGGTATGGTACAGATATCTCCTCTCTCAGAAGAAAATATTAGAGTTGCTCCCCAGGAGAGGATTTATAACAATTGAGTTCTTTGGGGAGGCTTTGCTTTTAGGCACATAAGGGATTTCAGGAACTCAAGTGCCTTCAGCTCAAAATAATTTTTATGCCATTGTAGCTTATTCTGAACCCCTTCAGTTATTGTTCTCCTTGTAGTCTTGCTGTAACAATTCCAAGTCTCTGTGAAACACTGTAGATGCTTTTGAATAGAGGAAGAATCAGAACATATGAAGAAAAAAATGATTAGAATGGTTTGTTTGTGATGGCAAACATACATAAAAGTTTATAAAACTAATATTACTACTTAATGCAATAACACAAACACTCACGTAACCCCATATGGGCCAAAGTAGAACATTCAACACTTCAAAAGGCCCAATGTGCTCCTTCCCTTATAACCTTCAAGTGCTTAGAGATGACTACTATCATGATTATTATTATATTCACTTTCTTGTTTTTCTTTCTAGTTTTACTGCCTAATTACTCATCTTTAAACAATATCATTTTTTAGCTCTACGTATATGGAATCACGGAGTAAGCTTTTTATTTACATGTCTTGAACTTTTTGGTTGATATGGCTGTAGTTTATTCATTTTTGTTGCTGTGTGTTACTATATTGCATTGGTGTATCATAATTTATTTTATTGCTGATGGACATATGGGCTATTTCTAGGTGCTGTAAAAATTTGTGTAAACACACACATATATGTGTGTCCTCTGAGTACATGAATGTGTGTATAAATTTATTTGTTTGTTTATTTATTTATATTCTGGAGCACATAAACACAGATTTCTTTGGAGTCTTTTCCTTGATATGCAGTTCCTGGTTTGTAGAGCATGTTTATATCAATACATTTAGCTTAACAAGATCATGTCAAAAATTTTTTAAATGATTGTACCAATTTGTATAACCAACAACATACAAAAGTTTCTGTTGCCCTGCATTCTCACCAACACTTGATGTTGTCAGATACTTTAGTTTCTGTTACTCTAATGAATGTGTAATGCTGTTTT